GGGCTGGTAAATTGTGTACCAGACATCAGGGCTGGTAAATTGTGTATCAGACATAAGGGATTGTGAATTGTGTACCAGACACCAGGGATGGTAAATTGTGTATCAGACATCAGGGATTGTGAATTGTGTACCAGACACCAGGGATGGTAAATTGTGTATCAGACATAAGGAATTGTGAATTGTGTACCAGACACCAGGGACGGTGAATTGTGTACCAGACATCAGGGCTGGTAAATTGTGTATCAGACACCAGGGCTGGTAAATTGTGTATCAGACACCAGGGTTTGTGAATTTGTTTGTAAACAATGACACGCTATGACCATGCCATATGCACAGGTAACGACTCCCCTGCTTTAAGTTCAGGGAAAAAAACAAGTTCTATTGTTATCTTACATGTTCATGTGAATTTAATTAAGCAGATTTCACTCAACTGCCAAAATAAAAAATTAAAATTAAAACCCAGTTAATAATTAATGCATTCACAGTACTCACAGAAAATTTTATTTAACATCTGTGGTTTTCAGTCTATTCCAGAGCACGTCTACAACAAGTTCAATTAAAATGTGTTGACATATCAGAAATTGGCTAATACTAATTAGATAATCAATATGCACGTTTTTCAACATTAAACTAGTATCTGTAGATAGTATGCTCAAATTTCAATCCAAAACTAATCAGAAACTAGTCTTTAGCATTGTTCGCAGGCACGTCATATACCACGTCTTCTGAGATATGGGTAAAACAATGCGCAATTAGTATGCAAATTAAGCAATTATTATGCATAGATTTCAGCCCAAAACTAATTAGGGCACAGTAATGTTCCAGGGCACATTTGTACCAAGTTTCATGTGAAGATTCTTAAAAAATTATATAAAACTGACTAATTATTATGCAAATTAGGTAATTAATATGCAAATCTAATCAAATCTGTGCATTAGCCAATAGCATATACGTTTCATCAAAATCCAATAAGTGGTTCTTTAGATATTAGTTGAACACACACACACACACATATACATACATACAGACAGACACACTAACTGCAAAGACTCCCATTGTGTGATTTGCAAACAGGAGTCAATAAAAGACAATCAATGAATTTTTACTCAGTGACAACAGATTTAATGCATTCTAACAAACAGTAACCACTCTCCTCTCTATAAATATACTCCTGTAATCCAATAAAGATCCAATAAAGGATCCCAAATGACAGCAAAATGTAATATGCTTGAAAAGTTGAACAATCCACAACCTAAAATGGCATAAAGCTCCCTAGATTACCAGAAAAAAAGTTCAGCCATGTTTCACTTAAATATTTTGACTTAACCATTTCACAACCAGACATTTCATCAACATTTTTCTACACTTTTTTCTTCTATTCTTCGATATTTCTGGAAATGAGTCCTAATTTTGGATCTAACAGACAAAATATGAGTCAATGTTCAGTTTTTTACTCAAAAAATTTTGCTATTTTTGTCCCAATCTTCTGAAGGCAAGTGAAGACTATGACAAGACTATTTTGTGAATTTGTGATGAAAACTGGAAACTAGTGGTGAAAAGGTTTAAAAATAGATGTGACATAAAATAGGAAGCATCAGACTTGTACAACTGTGAGGGCGCACTCACACATAAAATGAGAAATGACATATTTGGCCCATAACAATATTAAAGGGGAGGGAGACAATAGTATTTATTAATTTATTTGTCAGTAACTGCTCTGTGAAAATGTAACTGAGGGCAAAGATGAAACAAAAAATTCACACATGCCACGATAGATAAATGAATGCCAATGTACATTTCCACATTTTCTAGCTATGTTTGTGAAAAGTGATGACAAACAAATAAGTTTCATATTCATCACAACTTTTGAGATTAAATGGGGAAACCCTCCTCTATATATAGAACGACCATTCTCTGTGATTGATAGTACAACTTGTTTCATTACTATTAAAGTAGAGCTTATATTCACTCTTCAATCATCTATACCGGTACACTTGAAACATTCCTATTGCAGAGTTGATGTTCTGCTTCAATCTACTGTGGAATACTTTATTTTCACTTGGAATTAATTTTTGCTATTTTCGCTGAAGGAATGATTCAGTGAAAATAAAATCCAGCGAATATACCTTTTTTCCTATATTTAACATTCAACGCATCAAAAATCAGTGAAAATAAATTCCATACTAAACACTAAAAATTAATTCCAGCTAAAATAAAGTATTTTTACAGTTATTTATTTAATAATTGTATGCAAGCAACAATGATACAAATTACATCAACATTTAAACAATCATTCCCTATCACAATATAAATGTCAAAGGACTGATCATAGCACAGTACAAGGAAGAAAGAAATCCCCAAAACTAAATATAAGGTGTCTATGACATAGTAAAATGTTTGCTTCATATCAATACTGAAGCTCCAAAAATGAAGTCATCCCAACATCAAATAATGTTGACTTTAAATATTCAACTTCACGCCCCTTTATAAATAAGCTGCATTAAAGATCAAAATGAACAAAGAAATCTCTTAAAATCATTTTTAAGGAGTGAAGCACCTGACATTTTTGCAGCATGAATTTAAAATTAAAAAATGTGCAATAATAAAATAAACTTCATGGATTTTCAGCTGATAAAAAACACGTCATGTGAAGCCAAATCATCTGAAAAGATATTTATTTAAAATTTGTATGTTCATCAGGTATGAAATGATACTTTTCTCTAGTCTGTTCAATTCACTGCCTTTTCAAATTTACACTTGAACTGAGAGGGATTGCCTAGATTGCAAACAGTGATCAAAACGAAATATAGCAGCAAGCGTTGAAAACTATAAAACTCAATTTTTTAGACTTGTAAGTGATATAATATTATTATATACAATGGTCTTTTCAATTATGTTAACCCCTTTTTATGTGATGTTCACATGGAGTTTTATTCAAAAATTACATCTCAATGTTTGGTAAAAGCGACAAAATATTAAGAATTCTCAAATCAAAATCACAAAATATTTTTTTTTACGTAGCAGTGACATTAATTTATAAAAACAATACCAGGAAGACGAGGAAGAGACTAAATAACCACAATAGACAAGTATATATTACTCTGTAAAACATATGTGGGACTGTCATTTGAAACAATGTACATGTATTCAGAATACATCATAATAAATCACAATAAATAGAGCAGCCTCAGTCTGATAGATAACATCCCCCCCCCCATCTCACTGATGACTTGTTATTCTCAAATCCCTGATACTGTAGTCACACATAAAACTGTGATTCTACTTTTAATAATTCTATAACAAATAAATCTACATGCTTATAGAGGAAACAATGTTATCTGAAACTTTTAACAATATCACAACTCATGTGCATAAATATGTGCGGCATGGAATTCTAACATGAGTTGTAAGACAACTGCAACACTCAACATAATCAGTATTATATCAATACTTACTAGTAAACAAGGAAAGATGACTGACAAAGAAAGACGGCTGACAAGGAAAGACGACTGACAACGAAAGACGGCTGACAAGGAAAGACGGCTGACAAGGAAAGACGGCTGACAAGGAAAAACGGCTGACAAGAAAAGACGGCTGACAAGGAAAGACGGCTGACAGACGGCTGACAAGAAAAGACGGCTGACAAGGAAAGACGGCTGACAGACGGCTGACAAGGAAAGACGGCTGACAAGGAAAGACGGCTGACAAGGAAAGACGGCTGACAAGGAAAGACGGCTGACAAGGAAAGACAGCTGACAAGAAAAGACGGCTGACAAGAAAAGACGGCTGACAAGGAAAGACGGCTGACAAAGAAAGACGGCTGACAAAGAAAGATGGCTGACAAGGAAATACGACTGACAAGGAAAGACAGCTGGCAAGGAAAGACAGCTGACAAGGAAAGATAGCTGACAAGGAAAGACGACTGACAAGGAAAGACGACTGACAAGGAAAGTATGCAATATAGAACATGCATGTTTAACAGTACTGGTATCATTTAAGTATTCACTAAAATACATTTTAATAAGACATAAACCATCACACGGCAAGTATTCACATACTGATACAAGACTTCTGCATGCATGCACAGTAAATATAACTAAACAAAGATTCAATTCTTAATTCTTAGCCACATTACATTTGATTAATCTTTGATCACACAGTAAGTATTCACATACTAAAGCAAGACTTCTGCATGCACAGTCAGTAACTAAACAAAGAGAGTCAATTCTTGGGCACATTTCATTTGATCAGCCATCAATAAACCTTTTGTACGTTTCAGTGTCAGAGGACTTCATCAAGTCGGCCATTTTGTTTATTCTTGTTCATAGCTATTATGCTATAATTAAAGACATAGTTCCTCCAAATATCTATCTATTACACCATGACTTGGCGAGTCATGTACAAGCCACACACCATGGCAAACCTATTGGCAAGCTTCAAGTAAGCCTGAACCCTGAAAAAGACAATAACATATACCGGAACACACAAATCGTATATTGAATGAGATTATATTAGACCACAAGACATGCACCATATTCGATCCTGGGAAAACTATTGTAAACTTTTGTTGGCATTTTCAATTATTCAACAATCCCAGAAACATATTCAGTGCTACAAACTATCACGATTTTCCTAAGCACAAAAAAAAATATTGTGTCTAATGAAGTACCGGTAACTGTAGTTTACAGTCATCAGTGAAACATTTGACAAATTTTGGACATGTTATCATGTATTAAGCATCACTAAAACTTGTAATGGCAGAGAAATTATCCATCCTTGAAACCTAGACAAATATGTTGGGCAATTTTTTATTTCGATTTTTGTACATAATTACTGTCATAGCCCAGTATATTGTGTTTGCTGTGTTTCTTGCCCTTGTGTTGGAGGTGGCAAGGCTGCCGAATTTTTACTTAGTCTTCTAAATTTCTTTGATGGTTTCTTTATTTCTTGCTTGATGGGCTGTTCCCTACAATGCAAATGGAATGCTTAAAAGGTGATGGTTGTCAAGAGACGTCATGTCAGACAATATGAGTTTCAAGCAATGTATAAAACAAAACCAAAAAAAATGCTTTATGTTAACACAATTCAACACAAAATATACTGCTTTTTACTTGTATGCGTGAACGAAAGGGACATCTAATTACCATTGTCGGCGAACGAATTGCCTGTACTGATTCGAACAGGCGTCTGGAGATCATTATCAGATTAGGCCATCCCATTTTCAATAGGAGGCCAAGATACTTTTAGAGAGGGCATGATCGGTATATGAATTTTCCATAACAATTTGTATCATTGTTGTAATTGTACTTCATAATTTATTACATTTAAAATAGGCAAAACGAGAAAAAATACGAAAATTTAGCTTAAAGTAATGACTTGAGAGTGCGCCCCTCTCAGTAAATACCATCGCCATTCAATATCTGCTTTTTTTTTTGAAGAGACCATGATTAAATTTACAAATTGGTAATAACAATTTGTTGGAAATATAAGTAATATAAGTAATATAAACTGAATTTGAATAAAATTATAGAGAATTTGCACTAACCTGAAAAATGGTATCAAAGTGACTAGTGTTTCTTTACATGGGGCACTTGATAACTGTGGATTGTTTTGTAGCCATAAGTTGAGTACGCATCGTAAGTAGTGCTGTAAACGCTTCCTTCTATCTTCCACAAATTTCACGTCCTACAGCAATACAAGCCATTGTCAGTGACATAGTAGTTCTAGTTTCCAAGTATCAAGGATGTGTGACTTTGCACAATTCACACAAATTTTTCCCATTATTTAGTGTGTGTTTTTTTTCGTGGGTAGCTATTTTAAGGAATCACAAATCAAGTATTTGCATCTATTTGTATCTATATGTGTCCTATTTCACTGTAAATGAGTTCCAGCAGGAATTCTCCCATAGTTATGCACTACTATAGTAATGTTTGCTGAAAAAAGCACTGCTATACTTATTGCATAATAACTTTCAAAAATAAAATCATAATTAGTTTGGATCCATATTTTTTTGAAATGGGAAAATTAAAGAAAAACCTAAAAATACACAATATGTTGCATAGACACATTACATGAATATACTGCTTGTACCAACCTTGTGTCCCAGTGTTTTTTTTGGAGGGAAGTCAAAAGTGTTTAACATGGGATTCATTTTTCGCATTTTTTGGTGTAAATCGTAAAATTGAGAATATCGTCTGTAAATATTCCACTCTTCGTCTTTGATTCTAACGTAAATCTGAAAAGATGAATTATGATCAGTAAGTCATGTCTCTTCAGACATCGGCACAGAACAAAGGAATAGCCTCTAGTCTGCTTTTTCATACTGGACTGCTGTGTTCCCTCTAAGACTTATTTTTCAAACAAATTTACAAGCTTAGAAATTTTCTTTTTGATTCCATTCAAGCATTTTGTATTCAAATACACCTGATATGGGTTAAAAACGTTTTTTGAGATGAAATTTCTCAACCACACCACACTACACTGAAACTGAAATGTTGTAAAAAATGCAAAATTTGTTTGGGTTAATTTATATTTTCTTTCTCTTATTAGAGAATGAAAAAGTCAGACATTGTTAAACATTTCAAAAAATTCTTAAGTGTTATCAGAGGTACATTACTTGGGGTTTGTAACTACGGTGACATGATACCAAGATCCCGTCACAATCTCGCTCTCGCATAAGCGTTCCAACTCAGAAAAAATGCGAATGCGCATGCCCGAGGTAACTAGGATACTGGGATGTCCAGGTGGATCAAAATAGCTGCCCACGATATGACGGATTACGAGAACTATATTTTCTGTACATTTTCGATGTATTACATTTTTCACTATGATAGTGACAAGAAAAGTTTATTTTTTTCATTACAAACCTTGAACATTGATATGCGTCATGTCAGAAGGTCGTAGCCTCAGTCTCGCTATCTACGAGAAGAGACTTGAATGGGATCTTGACATGATGTCACCATACAGTACTATGCGAGTTGCAAACCCCAAGTAATGTACCTCTGGTGTCATATTAATTTTTTCCATTATATACAATTTCCCATAATGCATTGTTACCTGTTGAGTAGTGGAGTATTTGAATTCAATTCAAAGTGTCTTAACCTTAATCACACAGTACATTTACGTACTGGACAAAAATTAGAATGGGAAACAGAGGACAGGGTAAGCAACAGTGGTGTCCTATGATTCCCTGAAGAAGACACAGTGATGTTCGTAAAACATCAACCCTGTGAATAAAATTAAATCAACAGTTTACAATGCATATCTAAAGACAAATTAGAATTTACAAACCTGGTAAACATGGTACGAGTCTTTTCCTTTACCCTTCAAAAATGCAGACGGAATCCAGAGGTTGACTAATGCTCTAGAATCTGGTGATAAGGAACCACTGAAAAAACATAGCATAACTATCACAACATTGCCCATTGAGAATCCAGATAGCAAATGGATAGATGAATACAAACTAATGATGCACAACCTTTGTATGGCAAATGTGTGTATAAAAGTCATGAATGATGCAATAATATGTCTAAACTTTTTGCAAAAAAAAATATTGTATAATTTTGACCAAATATAGACTAGAACAATGTAGCCATCATAATTATGAACATAACATACAATTAATTAATATTCATGTTCCTTAAATGTACTATAACTATCTCAATGTCCCTTATAGAATAATGTAACATAAATAAAGTAACATAAAAGTTCCTAAATAATAGCGTAATAATATAAATAACCAAATTTGAAGATGATCAAATAAAAGTTGTTTAAGTTATTGTAACATAATATCCATGTTTGAGTTGTCCCACCAACAAAGCTTTTACGACAGCAACAATGATGACAGCAACAACACAGACATTTTTTCCACATATACCTTGGTCTTTATCTAGGATGATATGAATAAGGTAATAAAAATAAACATAATGTCGTCTACAATGTTGCATTGTATTCACGGTCATTGACTTTAAAGCAACAAACTTTCAACTGATATTACCAAATAAACCTAAATATCAGTAAATATATATGCAAGGCACTGTATATGCCAGGGATGAACAGAATAAGTTTTTACAAGAAAAGCAGCTACCACATATCAGTACTACAACCATCTGTGTTTCATAAGTTTGCATAAAAAAGTCTGAAAAAATTGATTGCAAGCAAATGTGACAGATAGACGTCTACTTCAAAGGAAAAGCTTACCTGTCAGGATCAGCAGTGTTTGTATTCTCCATGTTCAGTTCATCTTCAGGAAGCTGACAAAATTAAAAGATTGTTTTTGGATAGTTTTAAATCCAATATTTTATCACATTTACTCTCTGCAGTTGTAACAACTGCCCTTGCAGTCAAAACAGCTTGACTGTCTTTATATGGCATCTTGCTTATGTGCATACTAAATATCAAAGAAAGCAATTAAGCTGGTAGTTTTCATGAAGAAGCCTAAACTGGACGAATGTTGATGAATTATGAATGGCCGACAGACAACAACGGACAATTACCGGTACCTATTCTTGGGGGCGAGGTTGCATCACAGAACGTTCTATGTTGTTAAGACGTGCACCAGTAAAAGAGCCGGTGAAAACAGCTGAAGTCAGGGAAACAGCACAAACTCAACTTTGAAGTAATCCCGAGCAACCCAATTTATATATGTTGCACATGTAGCAGTAATCTTATTACACTGTTCAGGAAAGTCTCAACAACTATTCCAAAGTACAGTTTTCTGAAAGTTTTCGGCCGTTGATTTCACTGTGATGGTTGCCAGGCGATGAAAATGCCCAGATGTATGCCCTAAGAATATGAACATCCCCGCTCTGTCATTTTTAATGACAGCAAAGCTAATAAATTTCATCACAAAGAGGTCTTTTGGTGGAAAATAAAATTGTAAAACGAGTTGTATTATCATTATTATTTTCTACGACACTTTTACAATGAAGTAACAGAAATGTTCACAAAAAATATGCTCATTTTATTACATCATATTATTTATGTATTACTTAGCCATTCAGACCCAAATAGTCACAATAAACATTGTAATTATAAAGAAAAGTTTCATGACTTGACAATTTAAAGTAGTGGGAGGTGGGGGCGCTTTTTTAAAAATGAAGTTTTTGACACATTTAGAAATTTTCATAATTGAATAGTTCAAATAAAACTAAAATAAAAATAAATCTGAATAATTTGGTACATGACTATTCATAAAGACCAGTACTTCTCAATGCTTCATGAAACTGTATTGACCTTATTTGTCCAACTCATGGACTACACAAAACTTCCCAATGAGTGGATATTTAAAAAAAAATACAAAAATGATTGTCTTACCGGTCCCCTCAGATCTACTAATTCACCTTTCATCTTCTGCACAAGTAATTCTTTGGCAATGAGCTGTCTGTGTAGTCTATCATTGAACTCCATTAACTCACCATGCATCTCAGCAACTTGAATTAATTTAAGTTCATACTGCTGGGCTTCTTCACTGTAAAACACATTAAACATAAATGACAGTGACAGTATAGACTAGAAATGAACAATCAAAAGTTCATAAAAGGTCGACTATTATTATTCTTTTCATTCACTTAAAGAGAGAGGGTCGTCACCTGCGCACACACGGGAATTGAGTCCCAAGCAACGATAACAGTACATGCTAAAAATGCAAAGGCTCATGGGTAGACACTTGTTTGTAAACAACGACATGCTATGGCCATCTGACGCATGCACAGGTGATGACTCCCCTGCTTTAACAGTTCGGAGCTTAACTTAAAACTATTTCAACCTGTGCATGTTGACCAGCTTGATATGTATAGAAACAACACCCTACCTGTAATCAATGACTGGGGATCTTTTTTCTGGGATCACAGGTTGTGGTTCTTCATGCCGGATTCCTGGTAAACCTAGAAACAATTTGGTATGTTGATGAATCACAAAGTATGATAATGTAATACAGACTGTTAGTTAGTGACTCTTTCAAGCCAGTGTAAAACCTTTTACATAATATAACCGATACACATATGAGATATACATTAAAAATTAATGTACCAGGTAGTCATTGTATATAGTATTTTTTTATTTGTAAATAATGTCAAATTTGACATAATATGTGTGTTTAGTTTGACATTTCCATCTATCACTTTCTCTATTTATTCATAAATGCCCCTCCCCCTGCCCAGCCTACATAGTGACTTTAAATATGCCACAGCGCAGAAGAGATAGTCATACTGTTTAGTAATTCAACCATAATACTTGTATATATTTAGCAAGCTTTACCTTAAATACAAAATAGGATTCTATTTTAGAGTCAAATCTCTGTGATAGAAATGGATTTTTTGTTTAGCCATAGTAACAGAAGCCAGCTCAATTTGAATCAGTGATAAAACCTCAATTAGTATGTAGTATCATGGTGGTCATGTTGTAAACAAATTACCTTCAATTGCAGTAGAGCCTTCTCTTCGTAACATTTGAACAGCACCAACATACTTCTTTAATTGGTGTTTTAAAAGTTCATTTTCTCTGTCAAAATGAAATAAACAAGTGACTGTTAAAAACAATAGATCGTTAAAAACGTTGATCTGAATGTAAAACAAATAGTCTTGGAAATGTAATCTAAAATGTACAATGTATAAAACTAATTTGAATGAAAATGATAAAGCATGCATAAGATACCACATTTTCAAACAACAAAATGGTTCCCAGTCAGGAATGAATGAACAGATTTGGTCCACAGGGTTCTGAAATATGAATCCAGACAGACCGACAGAGACCAAATTATAAGTCTCCATTTTTGAACATCTTTCAAACAGGGACTAACAAGTGACAATAAGGTAATAGTGAGACAACTTTCCCTCTTGAATAAAAGTAGCCAAGATGATGACTTTATTCCTAAATATGACCAGTTTGATGATTCAGATATTCTGGTTATCGCATTTCCAGACAAACTGTCAAACTAAGAATTGTTTTGTCTCGTTGACACTCATCAATACTACATTACCCACGTACATTCTTCTCTCATTGGTTCTCTTTGAGGCCAAATAGAATGAACACATACAACTCTTGACGTGTTACTTACCTAATCAAAGCCTGTAGTTTATTATTTAGTTTATCAGTGCTAACTGTTTGTTCTTGTTTTAGTTCTTCCATTTGTAGCCTAAGTGCAGCTGAATGTTCCATTTCACTGTCTAGTAACGACCTCAATGACCTGTCAAAATTATAAATAATGATTTGATGACCTTAGTATTAAATAATCAAAAGATATAAACAGAGACGTGATGACAATAGTCTTGATGTGTTGACATCTTCAGGTTTACACAAAAGAAAAGATGGCAAACAGATTTCAAATCGCACTCCATGATGATATACTTTTATTTTTGTGTCGTATTCAATCATGAATATTAATGGAATATAATTTTGATGATGCAAGGTTTTATTATACTCAATGCATAGTAAATACTGGTCAGTCTGGTGCAGAATTAACTGGTGATAAAAAGAAAACCTGTCAACTTAGTTGACTGGGACATTAAAGGAAAAATATGAGACTTACTTGTTTTGTTCTTCAACCTCATCTTTCCGCACCATCATTGCAACAATAGCCTGTTTTAATTCACCTAAAATAAACAATTAGGATTCACCACTCTACACTATAGGTCTCCAAAACACATTTACAAAAGACCATACACTGATTACTAATGAGATACAGGAATAAATCACATATTGTGATGGTTTCAGAAGTGGTTTCACAATACGAAGCGACCCCGGTGAATAATAACAGAAATGTCCGTGGAAACGATATTTACCTGTTGACATAGTTTCATATTTTGGACTTGGCAAATTGGATAAATAACTCACACTGCCATCACCTTGGGTTCGAGTTTCCCGCTGAACCTCACTGTAAATAAAAAAATAAATTCTATACAGTGTTACTAAAGCCACAAAAGTAACATTTACCGGGTACTTAACGTTTTCACCACCAGTTCCCTCTTTTCATCACAAATACACAAAATACCAATAGTCCTGTTTACAGTCTGCACTTTCCTTCAGAAGATTGGAAGAAAAATAGCCAAATGTTTTGAGTAAAAACTGAAAATTTATTCAAATTTTGTTTGTTGGCTTCAAAATTAGCGTTTATTTCCACAAATATTGAAGAATATTCGAAAAACGTTCAGAAAAATTTGGGCGAGAAAGTCTAGTGGTTTTCCTGTTTGTATATGAAAATATTCGATAGTGAGATTTTGTTTTCCAAATAGTTTTAAGATATTTATGAATATTTTAACAATATGAGTTACTGAAGTACTCGAAAGCACTTGCTTCTAATTATCTTCATCAAAGTGATCTACATTGAAGGTACAAGCTTTGATTCACAAGTACGCCCAACTCAGACAGTCTAGATAAGAAGTAGTTGTTTTTTCATTGAAAGGAAAAGGACACGTACCAAATTTTCAAATGCAAGTTTATAATTCATGTCAAAATTTGAATCAGAATAAGTATAGCCAGCCATATATCTGAATTTCCTTTTGGTATTATTAAAAGTGCATCTCGAATAAAAAAAGTACATATAAACCAAAAATAATATTTGTATACTGAATCAATAAATTATTTCTTATTTTGACCATAGAAACACTTTTGTAATTTATGCAAGCATACACACAAGTAATAGGGTAAATATGTTATTATGACCATAGATTCCCTTCTGTGCTACTTATAGAATAAATACTCTATATCAGACACTTATTCGTTCAATGTTGATTTCATGACATACTGTCTCTGAAGAGACTGAATGTATTTGTACTCACCTAGCAGCAAGACTTTTCACAGCTAAAGCTAGTCCCATGGCAGCATTTTCAGTTTCCGTACCAAATTGTAACATACTGGAATCATTAGACTGGGTGTCATCTGTTGCATGGAGTTCAACATTTAAAAGGTTACATTTACTCAGGTATGTATGATCTAGAAAAAGTGCCATATGTGAGTACCAATTTGCGAGTCGCAAATAGCAAAATATGCCATATG